GTTTTCTATAGACCAAGGTTTCGAAATTGTCTAAATTTTTCTGAATTAGTATATCGAGAAAATGAATTTGGTGATTTTGTTCTTTTTCAATAGTGAATTTAATTGTTGGTTCTTTAGTATTCAGATAAGATAAAAATTCATCAAGTTTTTGTTCGCCATGATTGTAAATGGTTTAAAAGATTAAATTAAGTTAGTTAAGTGTGTCGCCGGATACCCTCTAGGTGATAGTTCTTGATAAATAATTCGTTCTTATTGCGAAATAGGAGCACTATTTATCAATCTGTAATAAAAGACGTGAGAAAATTCCATCTTTTTTAAAGGCGAAAATTTTTGAGGCAAAATACCCAAAAAGAAGTTGGTAAAAAATGAATCCGCCTCAACAATGTAGAACTTATCATCAATTTCAAACACACAACCTCTCTTGGTGTGTCTTCGCAAAATGCACGGTGTGCGAGTAAAAAAATAAAAAGTCGCATTAATGCCTCAGAATCGTAAAATGTTTTACCGGTTTGTTCCATGAAAATGATGCGTGGTAGGAAAAAACTCAAGAGACCTTTTTCGTTGGTAGTCGAACCAGTAACAACAGAGAGAAATTATTTTTTTGATAATTAAGTGGCGCACCAAATTTTTCTTCAAAAATATATCAGAAGCGCACTACTGGCGATCGAAAAAATGTCTCATTCCTTAGAAAGACTGGCCCTAAAATTTCCTTAAAATGTCTTCAAAAAACGACCTCCAATTGTTAGAACTTTCCATCTTCAATCACCTTCCGAAGACACTCTTCACTAGTTTCTTAATTTCGTACACTTGCTTCTTGTAGGAGCGATCCATCATCGAACCAAACGATCTTCTATCAAACACATTCCGTTTAGCTGGTGCCCAAAAGTAGGCTATCCGATTTACAGCCGGTCATTCATCAATGCACTTCACCCATTTGGAAGAATGGTGCTACCGTGAAAGAGAAATTCGATGGAACATCAAGTACCATTATTATTTGGTTCCATTGCAGGGAAAGTATTGAGTTGCAGACGCGGTTTCTACAGCAGCGACTAGTCGGGCACCGATTGGCAAACTCTCAGGTTGTACGGCAAATCGGGTTCCTTTGAATAGTAGGTAGTACCCAGAGTGTTGGTACCTTTTGCCATTTTTCTGCCAGATTCGTCAAATTTGATTTGAACGAGTTCGATTTGGATGCTTTGGATTGGTGCAGTGGCTGAGTTTGAGGAGTTTCTCTGAGGTTTGCAGATTCTACCCATGGAAGTAAGTACTCGGATATTTAAAGTTTTACAGTTCCAATTTATTACTAGTTGGTTGGAGTTTGAGAAAATGTAGTTTGCTCAATTGAAATCAAATCCAGTTTCCCACAATGGTTCAATTAAATGCCAATTAGGATTTTTTGATGATTTATTGCTATGAGTAGTGGGCAATAGATCACCTCAGTCACCTACTTACTTAATTAATTGTCGTCACTTAATTTAATTAATTAGGCATTTTCGCTCTTCAGCGTCAGCTTTAAGGTTCGTAAATTACGAGGAAAACGACTGGGAATTTTTTAAAGTACTGTTAAAAAAATTCCTGGCATTATTAGGCTTAGTTACCTAGAGCGATTAGTGCTACTTTTTCCTTCATTTGTCGCTAGTTTCTGAAAAATTACAGGATGAATTAGATTCGGCAAAATAAATTTATTCGCTAGCGGGGAGGTGAAGATTTTTTTTTTTGGATTCTGAGAAGCCGTAAGAATGTATTTTCCTCCTTTGGGAAACCCTCAAAATATTTTTCTTTTTATTGGAAACCCAGTGGAAGTATTATTGAATTAGTGCGTTTAAGTGCGTTTGAGGGTTTGATGTTCGGAGTGGTTTCTGCCACTTTTACAATTTTCCAGGTTTGATCTTGCTTGAAAAATGTTGCTATATAAATTAAGACTTCGGCATGTTGGGGGAAGTTTTCGAAAATTTTTTGTGTGCCTGCTAACGAATTTCATCTCCTTAAAGTCTGTTCAGTAGAAGATGAGTTTGTTCGTATTTTTTTTGGTTCATCGCATTATCTGGATTGCCCAAGATTTTTATGGATTTTCCCCAATGTTCCTTGCTTTTTCAAAATCCTGCATCGTTTTGTTAAGAAAAGCGCTAAACACGCAATTTTTTTCTAAAATTGCAAAATATTGAAAAAAATGTTTTTGATGGCTCTAGATCAGAAGTTAGGAATTTTTTTCAATCAGAGGGTGCGTAGGTGTGAGAATGGTTATAGTCAGGCCAACATTCACTAAGTCAGTATAAATCACGATTCTGTGCTGTTTTATTGAAATTGTACCAATTTTGAGATTGAAGTGTCTGCGATAGAGTGCAAAAATTTCCAATTGATGATCGCTCTAGATTAGAATTTTTTAAACATCGGGGTGTATTTGAGGGAGAACTTTCATAATTGGCTAGCATTCACCAAGCATAAGCATAAGCTAGCACTTTGTGCAATTTGAATAAAATTTTCCAGAGTCTGACACACAAGTGTCTTCTATAGACCCTGAAAATATCACGTTGCTGCTCTCTCTAGATGAGAAGTTAAGGTTTTTTTGGTCAGAGGGTGCATTTATCTGAGAAAGTTTTTCGTCGGGGCAAAGTCTACTTGGCAAATATGAACCAGGATTCTGTCCAATTTTAATGAAATTTGCCCGAGTTTGAGGCTGGAGTATCTTCTACAGGTTTCGAAAATGTGAGGAAGTTGCTTGCCTTGGATTAAAAGTTAGCAATTCTTGAAACAGAAGGTGCACTTGCGCGAAAACGTTGATAACTAGACCAACATTCACCAAGCCAGCATAAGCCAAGATTTTGTGTAATTTTAATGATTGTCTTCACAGTTTAAGACTGAAGTGTTTGCTGCAGACTGAAAAAATTTCAACTTGCTGGTCGCCCTAAATGACAAGTTATGATTTTTTTAACAGGGGGTGCTTTTGTGTGAGAACGTCTATAGTCGGACCAGCATTCACCAAGCCAGCAGAACCCAGTACTTCATGCAATTATATTGAATTTTTCCACCATCTGAGGCCTAAATCTCTAAAATCTCTTCCACTAAAGACTGTAAAAATTTCAAGTTGCTACTAATGCTAAATGAGAAGTTAGGATTTTTTTCAGATTGTGCATTTGCCGGAAAACTTTTATAGGCGGCCCAACGTACACTGAGTCATAATAAATCAGGCTTCAAAAAACTCTACTGAAATTTTCCAGAGCTTGAAGCTGAACTGTCGGCTACAGACTGTACAAATTTGAAGTAGATTGTACCTCTGTATTAGAAGTTGGGAATTTTTTAAGCAGCGAGTGCATTTTTGTGAGGACTTTTATAGTTGGACCTCAGCATCAATCAGCAGTCGGTGAAATTCCTGTAAAAAGTCCCAGAGTTTGAGGCTGAGGTGTTTTCTACAGGCTGCACAAATTTCAAGTTGTTGATAGCCCTAAGTTAGAAGTTGTGAATTTCTCTAACAAAGAGTGCATTTATGTCAAAGCGACCGACATTCACTAAGTCAGCGTAAATCGGGATTCGGTGAACTTTTAATGAAATTTTCCAGTTTGAGACTGAAGTGTCTTTTTTATTTTACTCGTTTTTTTGTTGACTCATTTCCAAACTACGTTGTTAGTTTAATGCCATATACTTGCAGCCTTTAAAAATAACTCGTTAATATTAAAATGTCGATCACTTTGAGGGCTTCGCAACGTGATTAAAAATCGTCAAATGCTAGTAATTATTCGCCTTATTATAAATTGTTGTCGTTGACGCAGGTTACCTTCGGTATGATCCTCCAAAGCCACTTAGTATGCCACAAGGAGCCTAAATACCAAAACGTCATAATATTCTTTAAAACTTTGTCACATCCTCAATTTGTCCATGTCCGTGAATCAAGAATGGGTGTTATGCTACAATTTTCTATGGTGATTAAACGGCAAATTAACATAGCTTGGTGCTTGGAATTCACAATATATTTTTTGCAAATTTGTTATCAGAAAGGCTATCGAATTTTGGACTTGGGCTTCATGCAAACGGGGTGCTGGAAGGACCGGCAAAATGAAGATCATCTGGTTTGGCAACTTGCGACGTTTTATGCTAATTCAACATTGACAATTTCTGCTAAACGTAATAAGAAAAAGCATAAACTTGTTCGTGTTGCGGTTTGTTGGAATTGTGCAATACTTTTAATTGCTTAAGAATTATCGTTGTCACAGATACGGAAAACCAATTTGACTAATCAGCTATTGGCTAACTACAAAAATTGATAATTTAATGGCAGGCATTTTCCAGGACTAATTTTCATGATAAGGTTTGTTTAAAGTACAGTGTCTGGCTTTTACTAACTAGAGAGTTTTAGTAACTAGATTGTTAAATTCTAAAAGGCAATCAGCTTGCCTAATTAGTATCGATATTCTCAAAAGTGCCCAGTTGTACATCTGAAGCTCAGGAAACAACTGCTCAATTAGCTACCCAAAAAACACGTTTTTGTGAAATTTATCGTTTTTTGCATCGGCTATAAGGCACATATCAACAAGCTGATTATTGACAAGCTTTACATTTATGTGCACAAACCAATAACGCTTAAAATTAATATAAATGTTCCAACTGCAAGCACGTTTAGCTCTTTATCATCACCATTGTTACAAATGGAATTAGTCTTAATTTTCCGTAAAAAGCAGTTGATTGGGAAATGCAAATATAGCGCTTTCTAAGTCCCATATGCAAAACCCGATTTGAAAACCCAATTTGAACAAAAGCCCCAATCTAATAAACTGACTATGGCGAAATTCGTAGCGGCAACAATCGAAAAATGCCGTATAAGTGGCAGGCAATGTGAATGCGATGACCTGAAAAGCCGCTAAAAAAGTGCAAAATTAGCATTATTCCTAGACGCACACATTTGAGAATAGGCACAATACTTGAAACTTACACATAAAGGAATATTAAGGTAAACTTGCAAATTGAATTGCTAATATTTGACCCAGATTAATTGCTGATGGCCCACAAATTTGCTTATTAAGTGCGGTTTCCAAACTGATTTCCAGGAAATTTCCGCCGTTGCTTTAACACGATTTTAATTCTTTTTGGTTTGTTTATTGAAAATTCAGCTGGTTTGTGTTAGAATGTGCATACGCAATGTGTGTCGTATTTTTGAGCGTTTTTGAAGAAAAAATGTTTTAATATCCAGTTTTAAAGAAAATTGAATCATCATCGTAGGCAGTCCACCAAATAAACCAAATTTTGGGGAAAAGTGTTTTGAAGTTTTTTGAAGCCCGATTTAATAAGTGAATCACAAGTAAGGAAACAGCAGCGGTTTTTACACAAACAGCGAAATTTGAATAGCACAAATTTAGGTGCAAGTTTAGGCCAAAAATGCATGTTTTCCGCCACTTTTTTACCGAGTTCTCTAGAACAGATTGAGATTGAGCGTTCATTACCATAGAATTTTTTTCCACCAGCAGAAATTTGTGTTACTATATAAACCAAAGCTTTAATACTGACATTGCGGACATTGAAATAATGTCATGTTGCAGGTGATACTGCATACATAATATACAAATTTCCGAAAATCTCAGGATTTTGTCTCATAATCCATATTTCTTTCCAGCTAAACATGGCTGCGTTGCTGAACTTGGTAGTGGATAATTACCATGAACTATTGGAGACGACCAAACGTAAGATTCGACCACTTTTTACCACAAATACTAGAAGATTTCCTCGAATTTCCAGATCCCATAGTCGATTCATGGCTCTTCATGCAGTCGCCGATGCCCGTCTTTACCATTCTAGTCCTCTACCTGTGGTTTGTCTTGAGCTTGGGGCCCAACTACATGAAAAACCGAAAACCTTTTGAACTGAAAAATGCCATGATTTTCTACAACCTCTACCAGGTGCTCTTCAGCGTGTGGTTGTGCTCGCATGCTCTCAATGTAGAAGACGTGATTCCGCATTTTTTCAATCACACCTGCAAGAATCCGTCACCCGACAAGGACTTTCAGGAATTGGTAAGTTCAGCTTGTTTCGACTGGAAAAAATGATTTAGTTTGCTAGATTTTTGCTCTTTCAATTGCCCAATTTAAATGAGTGAGCTTTTGGTTGCAGCTCTCCAGAGGCGCCTGGTGGTACTTCTTCTCAAAAATCACCGAACTGCTAGACACCGTCTTTTTCGTGCTGAGAAAGAAGGACTCGCAAATATCATTCCTGCACGTTTACCACCATTCCATCACCATGGTCGGCTCCTGGGCTTACCTTAAGTATCTGCCAGGTAAGTCATGCGTTCGCTACCATCCAATTAATTATTGAAATCAGTTTAAATTAAATTTCGAATTAGGAAATTCGCGAGATCGATTTCGGTTATTAACGGGGGTTTTTCAGGTGAGCAAGGCGTGTTTATTGGCTTCTTGAACTCTTTGGTACATGTTGTGATGTACTTTTATTACTTCCTGTCCGCATTGGGGCCAAGATACCAAAAATACCTTTGGTGGAAAAAGTACATGACGTGGATGCAATTGGTAAGTTTGGAACGTAGTGGGCAGTTGGGATATAAATGGGCCTGAACGCGGTTCTATTTAGAAAACCAATTAAATTACTCCGGTTTAAAACGACCTTTTTCTATTTCTAGACTATTTCTTCTTTATAGCAGGCACAAACACATAAGAAACTGGTTAGTTTTTCGGGCCTTGAAGAATTTCTTCCTTCGATCGATTCTAATCGAGCTTTGTGGCTAATTTCGAAGCGTTTTTGAGCGGTTTCCCTTATAAAAACCGATATTTGCTCGATTGTGGACCAAAGCATCACATAGGTGCTATGGGGATCTGGAAAGAAAAATACTACCCTCTGATCTTTTGGAACTTTTGAACGTTTGGTCAAAAGCTTTAGAACGTTTTTACTTTTTAGCGATATTCTCAACAAAAATATCCATTTCTACAATGAAAATCATTCTTCATTTACTGGCCTCAACAGGCCCTTTATGTAACTATTCAATAACATCAGGGAAAATAATTGGCAACTTGCATAATTCGACTTGCAATCACTGGCAAGCAATTAAAACAATTGTATCACGTTTTAGCGCTTAACATACGCGCAAGGCCAATGATTTATCAGCATTATGATTTATTTTTAAACAAGAATTTAAAAAAAATTGCATCTAAGTTCCATTCTATCCACATTGTTAATAAAATAATTGTTCTTTAGACTCAATTTGGAATTATGTTGCTCTATTTGGCTTTCATCGTCGTGATGGACTGTAAGCTACCAAGAGCGCTGACTTACTTCTTCGTGGCCAATGTGATGATCTTCATCTACCTGTTCAGCGATTATTACCGGAAGGCTTACTACGCAAACCCGAAAAGACTGCTGAAAAATTCCCAGGTAATTTGGATTTTATTTAGCAAAAAAACCCATTTTGAAACGTTTATTTTGCAGACCACAGGAAATGGTGTCTGCCAGCACAAGAATGGCTTAGTGGTCAATGGAACATTCATCGAAAACGCCCACATTGATGATGGCGTAAAGAAGAGGCCTGTTAATTCGAAATCTGCAAATCAATGTGATAGTGGATTTGCGCTTCCAAGCGACATCAACGATAAGAAAAAGGGTTAGGGATATCGGCCTAAGGGAAAGGCCTGGGACATTTTGTGTGTGATTCAGTTTGAATATCAGCTACCCGTGTAATTATAGGAACTAGACGGTTTTAAAAAATCGATTTCTATGGGTGTTTTCATTATTTGATTTAGATTAGTCGTCAGTGATGAATTAGGGCGGTTTTTTTCGAGTAGAGTTGGTGGAAAAATGAAGATTTTAGTCGTTGATACTGCAATCTTCATAGCTTCTGAAGTGCGATAGTTCACCGACGAATTAAACGCGATTTTTCCACTGATTTTCTCAATAAATTGTGCGAGATATTGAAGTCACTCGCATGGAGAGAGTCAGCAGTATTTTGCATTAAATTCCAAAAAAAAACCAAATCAATTGTGGCCGCTTTGGGTTTGTTTTTTATATTAATTATCACTGACGAGTCAGTTTCAAAGGTGTAAATAAAAGGACGGTAGATTTGATGACAATTTTCGAAACCTGCTATATAGTTTGTAACTGAATTGTGTAGGGTAATATAATTTTTTAATATGAGTTTTCAATTTTTTTTGGCCCTTGATGAGGTTCAGAAAATGCTCCCTACAGTCCAGGGCTGATGCATTTTGCCCAGTTTTCGTATCTTTCTTGTCAACTACTCGCCATTCGTGTCTACCTATGAATTTTTGGAAGAAATTAGTGATTTTTTCTGACTTATTATGTGGAAAAAGCCGAAACTACAGCAGCCAACTGAAGAAGATTGCGAAATGGATAAATTTCCGATTGCAGTGCTTGTCTATTATTTCGGATCTGAAAATTTTCATTTTTTTTTTAAATCGACCACCACACCACCACCAATTTCACATGCGTGTTTTTTTAGCTCAATCAATTCCTTTCGACGTAAGAAGGTCATAAATAGACATTTGTGAAGTGTTTGGGTCAATAATAAAGAAGAAATCGTCGGTTAAAGATTATGAACGCTCAAGAAACCCTTAAAATGTGCCGAACATGTCTATTATTTCGGATCTGAAGCTTCTACCATGTTTTTCAATGAGTTCGATGCATTCCTCGCGTCCGTGAGCTGAAAATAATGTGAAATACACGACATTTTGAGACAATTTTTATTTTTCAAAAAATCGACCTGCACATTTGGAAAAATTTCGGCCAAAAATCAAAATTTCACATGCGTGTTTTTTGAGCTCAATCGATTCGTTTCGACGTACGAAGGTCAAAAATATGCATTTATAAAGTGTTTGGGTCAATAATAAGGAAGAAATCGTCGGCTAAACATCATGAACGCTCAAAAAACGATTAAAATGTGCCGAAAATGTCTATTAATGCGGATCTGAAACTTCTAGCATGTTTTTCAATGAGTCGATGCATTTCTCGTGTCCGTGAGCTCAAAATGATGTAAAATTTAAGACATTTTGAGAAAATTTTTATTTTTCCAAAAAATCGACCTCCACCCTTGGAAAATTTGGACCAAAAATCAAAATTTTACATGTCGGTTTTTTGAGCTCAATCAATTCCTTTCGATGCAAAAAGGTCACAAATATGCATTTATAAAGCGTTTTAGTCAATAATAAAGAAGAAATCGCCGGCTAAAGATTGTGAACGCTCAAGATACCCTTAAAATGTGCCGAAAATATTTATTATTTTGGATCTGAAACTTCTACCATGTTTTTCAATGAGTTCGATGCATTCCTCGCGTCCGTAAGCTGAAAATGATGTAAAATTTAAGACATTTTGAGAAAATTTTTATTTTTCCAAAAAATCGACCTTCACCCTTGGAAAAATTTCGGCCAAAAATCAAAATTTTACATGCGAGTTTTTTGAGCTCAATCGATTCCTTTCGATGTACGAAGGTCAGAAATATGCATTTATAAAGTGTTTGGATCAATAATAAGGAAGAAATCGTCGGCTAAAGATTATGAACTCTCAAAAAACCTTTAGAATGTGCCGAAAATGTCTATTATTTCGGATCTGAAACTTCTAACATATTTTTCAATGAGTTCGATTGATTCCTGGCGTCCGTGAGCTAAAAATGATGTAAAATTTTTGTTCATAAAATTGTCTACAATTTCTGTGGCGTGTTCAAGCTGCTCTTGCTTTTATGTGCTTTTATGCCAGAAGGATTATTGCAATTCCCTAATAAAGTAATTGAAGAAATTACACTAAAACTTTAGATTTCGTTCACTTTACCTGGAGAAGTTTTCAGCATTTAGCATTCCAAATCATCTTCAGTTTTTCAACGTAAAGAATTCTTCATTAAATTGTCTGTAATTTATGTGGCGTGTTCAAACTGTCCTTGCACTACTTCGTTTTAACCATACACATGCAAATTATCTAACAAATTTTTGGATGAAACTGCACAAAACCTTCTCATTCCCCTTCAAACATCAGCCAACAAAAAAATTAAAACCCAACCCTCGGTGTTTCAAATATGTATTTCCTACTTAGATTTCACATGCACTTTATTTGCTGATTTTGGCGTTGTGTAATTGTTCTTGTAGAAGTCGCTAAACAAGAAGTAAAAAAAGGTGGCATTCGGAAGCGTGATAATTAAGGTCCATTTGGGAAAACCGCAGTCGACAAATAGTATCTGACAACTGTGGATGAAAACTAGAATAAACTGGACCTAAAATAGAAGCTTCAATTAGGCAAAATCAAGCTGGTGGTTTGCATCCCTACCAGTTGCAGTCTGGTAATGTATTTTTTCCAGCCCAAATACTTTTGCACTTCTGGTCCACAGGAGGATAGAAAGTAATACCCATAGAGGATAATGTGAACGAAAGTGTTCAGAAATCCGGCAAATGTTATTTGACCGCCTGGGATATATTTCACCATTATCCTGCAAACAACGCAAAATTCTCAAGAATCCGCTATTTTGAAGATGCAAAGTGAAACTTACCAGGATATGACGGGCATAAGAGTGTGGTGGAAGAGATGCAGGAAAGTGACTTGGCTGGTTTTCTTCCTCAGCGTAAAGAAAATCGTGTCCATTAAGTCGGTTATTTTGTTGATGAAGTACAAATAACAACTCCAAGCGGTCTGGAAGGTAAGTAGAATATTCCAGCGGTTTTTAATGTCACAATAAAAGGAGATTCTAATCGACTTACCGCCAAGGCAAAGGGAGAATTTGAGTAATCTATTGGCTGGCAAATCCAGTTGTACGTGCGCCACATTTCTGAACCCTAAACAAATAATAATCAGGACTTTGAAAGTAAATACCTCCCAGCCCTCACCTTATAACATAGGTAGATGTTGAAAATAACTTGGAACATATTGTAAATCATGATCGGTCTCTTCAGGCTGTATGCCTTTCGGTCCTTCATAAAATTTGGGCCCCATTTCAGCACAAAATACAAATAGGAGATCAGTATCGCTAAAACTGGAAGAGGATTACCTACAAGGAACCATGAAGAAGTTCGTGGATCTGAAAGGAAAAATCCATGTTTACGCAATTATTTATCGATTTAGCCGCTTAAATTACCATGAAATTGTTTGTTTATAAATAGAACCAATTGAATTGAATGCGCTGTTGAATTACAATGTGCACCTCTAGCACGCGTTTTCATAAATGAATAGTTTTGATGTATTTCAAACGAAAAGACCAAATAATGGTCATTGCATCAAACTGATGAGTTTTTTGGCGTCTAGCGAGTCGTGAAAAAGAAGTTTTTTCTGACAAATTCTGAATTAAAACACACAACTCAAGTGAACTGTATTGCAACGTAATCAGTAGATTAAAAGAAAAAAAGACAATTAAGCAAACCAACTAAATTGAAATTATGCATTAAAACCAGCAATTTTTCTGCTATGAGTGAAAAATCGCATAAAAAACAATCAAAGTTTAAACTACATTTTCCATTCAGGAACGCTTCCAACATCGGTCCTCTTACTCGCACACATAGAGTCCTAAGAGAGATGCAAGATGTACTGCGCGCTGTTACGTTCCAAATTGATGCCTTTGCGGCTTAAATGATAATAATAATAGTTAAGAAATATAAACAACTTTATTCAAATTTTTCAATTTTTTTCAATCATTTTCTGGTTAATACGCCGCCGTAGAAAATAATTCTCTTCCAAAAAACCAGATTCAAAACGTCAAAATGATTTGGAAATTTAAAGTTTTTGGGTTTGTGGAATTTAAATGCATCAATAAATGGGCAAATTTGAAACGTGCGACAACAAGCAAACATAAATTAAGTCCACAGCAATAAAGTAGAAAGCAATCAATAAAATTAAACAACGATGTTATTAGGCAAAAAAGCATTTTAGTGCTTAATGCAACAAAAAGAAAATTTGCAAATAAAAACAGGAAGAATTAAATAAAAAGCAAAATGATTCCCCTTACCTGCTATATCGTTAAATACAAAATTCCACATTGATTGCTTCATGGAGTCATTATTGGACAGCGATACGACCTCCATAGCTCTGGATTGAGTGTAGACAATGTGAAAATTCAATCCACAAAATATTTGCTTTAAAGCTCAAATCATTCCCGATTTTGCATACAATAACTTCACACGCCATATTAATTTCCATATTAGGTTTTTCGTGCGTATTAGCTTACTTGAAAATGCATAAAAATGGCAAACTGGCAATTACAAAGCATTAAATAATTTTCAATTGGACGGCGAATTCATTATCTGCCTACTTTTTTTCGGCTGTAGGGTACAAAGCCCAAGAAAAGTAGGCAAAAGTTCACACTTCCACCAGAGCAAAACACTCATTGATATAAATTTATCTTGCAAGTGCTCTTGAAGGATTTTAACGCGATTTTAACATTTCTATAGAGCTTCTGATAAAAACCGGCTCCTCACAAAGCCTTTAAAATCTAGGTGAAACGACAGTTTGCATGCCGAAGATTTTTCCTTCAAATAAAAATAATCAGCGTTAGCAAACAGTCTTCGAAACGCTAAAGCAAACAGAAGAATGGTGTCTTCAGAACACATATACAAACAGACACAATTGCAAACAATTTGTTTGATTTTCGATTTTTATTAACAGGTTTCTTGGGCAAGAGCAAATAATGTCAGCCAAATGGAGCAAGATGTGTGAGTGCAAGAACTAAAGTTGTTTTTTTGGTGATTGATTGACTCCGACACTGAATAATAAACGTGAAAAAATTGGAAAAAGCCCCATAAGGCGACGACTATAAAGCAGGTCAAAAACGCTAATAACATGTCTGTTCGTAATTAGTTGCGCATCTTTGTTATTAATAAACAACCGTATTCTGCTGTTATGCAATTCAGTTATTAATTGAATGGTAAAATAAGGAGCCGGTATTTTAAAGTTTGATTATCGTTTGCATAACACCGTCTAAGTCCATTGGGGAACTAAGAGTTTTTTGGCTGATTTTCAAAATTTTTAGGCGCAATCGGGATAACTAACAGTAACTTGAACGTTGGCACAAAGTCCTTAACCGGTAAGCAAATTGCAAAATACGATAATTAATAACAATGTTTTAGCATTTCATCATCTTAATGCAAATCACCTGTCGGACAGTGAGACCTTGGAAGTATTATTGCCTACGATATCGTAATAAGAGAAATTTGCATTGAAATTAACACTCGATGAGTCTATTAGCTTTAATGCATGTGATTGGGATTTCCCCACTTGCAAACCGTCGGAAAATCATTTTAAGGCATTAAAAAAGTTTAAAAAATTGTCTTGTTTCAGCTGAACAATTATTTGCCAATGTCTGCAGCATTCGCCTGCTTAAACATTTTATTTGCTCCTTAAACTGGGCATAGAATTGCAAAAACGATCAAAAATCTTCATTAGACTTTTGTTTAAGATTTTCTTTATATTTGAAGCTTTCGTTCTTCTAAGTCTACCAAACAAATGCGGGAAAATGAAATAAAATCGTTTTCTTTAAACCTCTTTTGCCTGCTTAAAAAATAATTTGCTCCTTTAACTGGAAATAAAATTGGAAAAACGTTCAAAAACCGTCATCAGACTTCTGTTCGCACAAAATAATTCACACTCTCTTAGAAGTTTTTTTATTTAGTGCTCTTCAAAATCTTCCAAACCTGCGGAAGAAAATGAAACAAAATCGCTTTATTTAAGTGAAAAACTTATCAAAATGTTTGCAACATTTTGCCTGCAAAAAATCACTTGGCCTTTTAACTGGGCAAAAAATAGAAAACACTTTCAAAACCCTTCATGAGTCTTCTGTTTGTCTCCAACAAAATGATTCAAACAAGAGAAAAAAATCGTTTGAATAGTGGAAGCTCTCATGCTTCCAAATCTACCAAACGTATGGGGTAAAATGACTCAAAATCGTTTTATTTAAGAGAAAAATTTACCATAATTTTTGCGCCTTTAACTGGGCAGAAAATTGGAAAACCGTTCAAGAACCTCCATAAACCTTCAGTTAAAATTCCAACTTCCTAATTCATACTAAACTAGACAAAAAATGGTTTGAACAGTGGAAGCTCTCATTCTTCTGAATCTACCGAACGTATGGGGGAAAGCTTCGTAGAGATGGACGCTTATATAAGAGATTAGCGGCTTGAGTCCTCGAGAATTTCGATATAAACCGTACCTTGTGGAGCACGCATATTTTTTTAAGGTAAGCAACATCCAGTGCCAGTGAAAGTGCAGTGAAGAATTCACACAAAGTGGTCTGTAGTTTCAGGTTTTTGTCACAAAAGTAATTTATGTATTTGGATTTTGGAAAGTCGCTGTTTGTATGATTTTACACCAAATGTCGTGTTTGATTATTTATTGCTTGCAAATAAAAAATGTACAACAATGAAAGGCTAATTTGTTCACCTATAAGCTTGATTAATTTAAATTTGCCACTATTTTTGCATCGACTTTTTGACACCTAAAGTTAAATGCTTATTCAAGCGCTTTCTTCATCAAATGCCCCCAAAAAATGATTTTGTTCTCTTCTAGCTAAAATGAAACTGGCAATTATTTCCCTTGCTATTCTGGCCGCAGTTTCAGCCTACCCTCAAAAGGAAGGCGGCGCCTACACAAATGAGGCCATCCGACAAGCTCAGCAAACCTTCCTAATACCCAAAGATGCCCAAATTCAGAAGGTAAATGTGAACTTCTGCTCTAGTTTTTCGCAAATTGTCCAAAGAAAGTGTAGTGTTTGGGTAATCAGTTCTAGAGAACGCACATTAAAACATCACAATCCTCGATTAAAGATGATGATTAAAAATGAAAGTGCTCGTTATAGTCGTTGGGTAACAGCAGATGAAACTGCTCGCGTCTTACGTAAATGTCGTGGGAACTTCCTCTTGTCCTTATTACACTTGGGATTTAACTTGGGATTGTTTTCAGGTACAAGAAGGAATCGAGATCGGTGCCTACGAAAGCATACCCGGCGACCAGAAAATCAACCTCTTTGAAATTTTGGGCGACCAATTTCCTCCAGAAGTGGTCAACAATCTCCAGGGCCAGATCGACCAAGTGGGCAAACACTAAGTGATGAGTCGAGTTGTTTTTATGTAAATTAGAAATTCACTGTGTCTTTGTTACCGTGTACTTTTTCCTTTCTGCGCTCCAAACTGTTTCCTAAACACTTCATCCCTTAGCACCAACATTCTGCCCTATTTATTGCACCCTTTTTCTCAGATTATGCCCTCTGGCTGCTCTCTGTGTCTTGTCTAATTCCTACTGCCTTTGATCTAGTCTTTTGTACTTGAATTGATTTAAATTTGCCATCGATGTAGACTCTGGAAATTCTTCCTAGAACGGTGCCAAGCTGCGATCACTCTAAAACTGTATTTTTGTAAATAAAACGTTGAAAAAATCCCTTAGTTTTTTCCTTCATTCAGCCGTTAGGTACGTTCAGTTGACACTTTGTTTTTTGTTTCACAAACAAAGTGAAAGCTCCCAATACCTGGTCACGTTATTGGGTTCAAAAATCGCATCATATACATATAATAAAAAAAACTGACTTTCACCCACGTCCTTAAAAGGAGGACAGAGAAGATGATCTGAAATTTAATTCAGTCGTGACCAAACTTAGCTATTGTGACTACTGTTGTAGTTATGCAAAACTTTCTTTATTTTCCTTTATTTTATTGGGTTTGCTAATGTTCCTTGTCGAGCACAGTTTAATAATCTGAGGAGTTACGGCTTAAAAAACATCAGGAAAAGTCAACACAATAAACTCGCAAATACAAAACAACCACTTTAACATAAATAGACGAATTGCCGACGAATTAGACCTTTGGTTCCGCACTTTTCGATTTGGGCCATCAGCACAATAAAGCTAGCGATGAAAATGAAGTAAAGTGTAAGTCCCAGGCAAAAGAACACTCTGGTGCTTTTGGTCGGTTTGTTGCACTTGAATACAACCAGGCCTAAAACCCCCCAAAACCCACAATTATCGAATTGATACATTAGAAAAGTATTCGCCAATTTTACCTAGAAACAGTCCTGTAAGTCCGCCGAAGAAATGGGCTTGCCATGAAACCTGCGGCTCTCTGCTTGAATATATGTGGACAATGTCGTAAATCACGTCGAAGATTATCAACGTTGATATCGATATTGCACGATATATTCTGTAGTTTATTGTATGGAAGTTCTGAAATTTTGTTAAGCGTTTCTCACTTTTATAGGCCTGTAAAAGCGCAGCTCCACCTACCAGCACTAGATCAGCAACATTGGAGAGAAGGAGCGAGTAACCTCCAGCTGATGCTCCTACCACTAAATCGGGATGAAGACACGCTGCTCCTAATATTCCTGTGACTCCTCCCAAGACATAAATTGTCAACACTCTAAGGCGACCCTGTAAACCACCACCATTCCTCACTTTCCTCACGAAACCCTCACTGTCCTACCTGGCTTATCTCCAACAGAGCAGCGAAGATGCACTGCATGACCACATTGAGAGCCAAATGAGACCAGCCGTCGTGCACCAACATGTATGTGAAATACCTCCAAACCTCCAGCCGCTTGTTTGGCTCAAAGCGAAGCAATTTGTTGAAGCTGGGAGTGGAATACAGGTGAAAACCTATCTAGAACAGCAGCAAAGTGCAAAAGCTTGAAGCTGAAGCCGTTCAATAATCACCTGGCAACTGCTGACTGTTAGAATGGCGATGGGAAGGACTCGAAAAGTGTGCCATTTGGGTTTTTGTCTGGTGCAAGTCTGGTTGAAGCTGCAGGGTTTCACCAGCACATTTTCCGCATCCATTGAAGATTCTAATGTGCCCAATGGGCTTGCGGCTTCAATTGGAATCTTCGTTTCGAGCTTGCGCTCCATTTTACAGCTCCAAAGTCGTTCTTCTAGAGCCAAAATCGAATTCTGCATGCTCCACTAAACACTGATAATCCAAACATACAAATCTATTTTCGACGGCACGTCGGATTTTCGACTGGGCCTCTTAAGTTTGCTCTAAATTGCCAAAGGAACATGTTATGGTTTTGTGGAAAAATAAACAGCGCGCCTTCAAGTAGTCGGGTGTAGCGCAAACTGATTTCTTTAAATATACAACTAATATAAATTGGCAGATTGGGAAAACGGTTGTAAGTAGTTTTGTTGTTACCTGGCGATTTTTGTTCCAACTGTTTGGGCACAAACGAACCGTAAGCCGACGAGCGCCGCATTCGAAGACGGGAAATGCAAGACATCGAAGCAATAAATGTGAAACGACATTTTCCTAAAAATAACCGTTTTCCAGAGGCCGAAACTATTTTCAATTTACAAGTT